TGGATGGCCTACCTGCCTGTCAGCCTTCCATCTGTGCACAAACTTATCTCGTGCCCTCATTGGTCATGTGCGCGTTCGTGTGTATTGGAGGAGGGGCTCTGTAAGGAAGTCTGAAGGAAGGGGCAGATTTTTATCGGCTGCGTATATACTTTCAAATTCTAGCACACTCGAGCTGGTTTCTACATTCTTACCTACCCTACCTTTAAGCCACCTACAAAGTCAGTCAAATGTAGAGTAATTTCTTGTTCAATACTTTTCCCCAGCTATACATGCAGACCATTTTATTAAGATAGAAGTGAAGATGCATAAAATGTCAGGCACTGATAACCCTTTTCAACCGTATGCTTGTGATGTGTTAATTGTATTCAGTTTTTGCATTTCCTTTTGTGTTTAATAGAAAATAATGCTTAAAATTCATCATGGTTCATCAAGTTATGATTACCACAGTAGGGGTAAAGTATTCGCCCCACACACACATATTAGCAGCTAGACCCGAGGTAAAGCTGGTGAGGCTAAAACCCCGCAGGATGATTTTCTTCACCACACTTCCTCACACTGATCAAACACTGTGTGTGTGTGTGTGTGTGTGTGTGTGTGTGTGTGTGTGTGTGTGTGTGTGTGTGTGTGTGTGTGTGTGTGTGTGTGTGTGTGTTCTATTGTTAAAATAATCAGTCTTGAAAATGCAGGACTATTATGTAAAAAATGTATTTCTGTTTTAATGACATATAAATTCATATCTTTACATCAGGGGTTGGGTTATTATAATATTTCCTCTGCCTCTGAATTGTTCCTATTGTATACTTTTTCATTCGTGTTTGAATTAAGTACAACAGGGAGCTTTTCTCATTTAGTTCCCAGCTTATTTTTACCAGTGCTCCAATTAATAATAATTGTTATCATTGATTGAAACTTCATCTTTATTCATCATAAATTCCCCGGGTCTTGAAAAACATGAATTAGTTTGGCCCGCAGTCCAAAATATACATAAACATCGATACCTTAATATATCAAAATGTGTTTTGAGCCACAGTTTGTTTGTCTTACAGTGTGAGCAGCAGCAGACAGAGGGGTCCTCTGGACGGGGGTCCGGCGGTGACTGCGGTTGTCCCACAGGACGATCTGTCCAGAGTAAGTCCCCCCCACCACCAGGTTGGGATGAAACTTGGCAAAGCCCACAGATACTACAGGAGACTGAGAGAGGATGAGATATGAGATTATTCTGGTGTGAGGTCATCTTACAGGAACATTTGTGATACTGAGGGAGAGAATAGAAATGGTTTGATGAGATGTGGAGATAAAACTGCACACAGTGAGAAAAGAGCAAAAATAAAGAGAGATATGAAGCGTGACGCGAGACCAAGCGTGAGTAAGAATGAGTGATCAAGGCATCGTGATGGGTGGCGCACATGGGGAGATAGACGCAGAGGGAGATGATGAGTTTGGCTTTGGTGAGGGTCCGCTGAGGAGAGGAGAGAGGGGTGACGCTGGGGCGGAGAACAGACAAAGAGGGGAATTGTAGTCCTCTTTCCCCCAGCCGTTTCACATTACAGCATCAAAACCCCAGCAGCCACTGGAGCGCTCACTGTAGCCTCCATCATGACAAGCGCACCCTTGAACCCCCTCCCTCCCCGATGCTGTGTTTATTGAGTCTCGGTTCCTCTTCAGTGCCCGTCCCAGATGGGCTTCTGCGTACGGCGGCTAGCCTCCCCTGACCCGGAGCCACTGAAGCATCAGTGCTGCAGAGTTATGAGAAAATGTTTCAGCATCGAATCGCTGCAGGAGGGTAAGTGGTGTTATGCATTAACAAATCCGTCCCTCCATCCTTCCATCTAGTGAGGCAGCATGTCCCCGTTGAGAGGAACCATAATTTACAGGCGAGACGGGGCCAAGAGAGCACTAAACAAGAAGCTCACAGACAAGCATCCCAATTAAAAACATTGAAACTATGAACAACATGACGGGTGGATTTCGCAAAAACATTGTTGCCCAATAGGGTCATAGAGTTTGTCAGGAGAACGGATGATGACAGTTTGACAGTTCCAGAAAACGGTACGTAACGATTTTGTGTTCGAAGAGCTGCTCTAAAATGGGCTTCAGAGGCAAGGCTTGTCATTACTTATCAGAATCCTAACAAATAAATCACTCTATTCACAAGGCAATGTTGGCACTGTTTCAAATAGTGGGTGGCCTGAAGCCTGATGATAGTACTCATTTGTATTGGTTGGTTATTGGATATTAATATGATTTTACGAAATCAGTTAAAAGGATAATCTAAATGTATATTTGATAAACTAAATGCGATTATAGCCACGGGCTCAAGAAACAATTAGTATAAATGTCTAGGAGCTGCATATTTTAATGTTGTGAAAAAAGTAACACTAAAACAGTACTCCATTTTGAATTTTTTATATTTCTACGTGGACGTTTAGCTATTTTTCAGAAAATATTTTGGCAGACACGGCTGTGTGGCAATTTTGAAGTCAAATCGAAGTGATGTCCTTTTTATATTAACTAAATAAACGCTATAAAAGTAGTTTTAAGAAAACAATTAGGGCTCACATGAATCTACCTTTACATCAAATACATGCTTCACGCAGAAGGTATTGATGTGCCAACATGCAATGAGGTCATGGCAGTTTTGGAAAGCAGAAGTTACTATATAGGTAGGAAATCTTAAAATTGGACTTCATGTTTAAGGAAAAGCCAAACATTTGTTTTATTTTCTTTTTTCGTTCCTTTCCCTCACGCTCTCTCCGGCCACCACACCATGTGCGGAGCCGCCAACTCCAAACCCCAGTTCCTTTTGAAAAGAGACTGGAAAACAAACCCGAGGGAAAGAAAACACTGCACTCTCTTTCTCTTTTTTGTTTCTTCTGAGGAGTCACGGCTTCCAGACGAATGGCTCGGGAGACGCTTCAGATGTCAAGGCTCAAAATAAACTGAACTTTGTGGTAAAGAATAAATTCGCTCCTCCGTCGGCGAGGAGGAACTCTCTGAAATGTTTATTTACACGGCCGGGAAAAAGGAATTTAGATTTATTAGCATGTATTACCACACACAAGATGGCCATAAGCTATTAATTAGATTACAATTTGCTCTGATTTATTCCTTTTGCTAAATCATAAAAGCTTCATTAAAATAATGTCTAAAACATATATCTGTCCCATGTACATAGAAGCCATTGAAAAGCAATTTGTGTACCATTTTCACTAAAATAATCTGAACATTTTTTTTACAAAATGCCTCTAAGGAATACTAAAAATCCCCAAAGTATTGAAAACTTTTCAACAGTAAAGCTAATTCACTTCAAATGTCAGGACGACAGCTCTCGTACTCAAATACACTTGGGTGAGTCTGCCTTCACCCGGATCACTTTGATATCCAGGAGTTCTGGGATGACCTTTACACTCTGTGGTCGTCTGACAGGCTGCTGTCTGAGGTTTGCCCCCCACCCCAGTCAGACTCCATCAGTGGGCTAATGAACCCAAGACCCTCCTTCTCCATCATCTCTGTGCACAAACACACACGTCCACTAACTAGCTTCATACACACACATGGCTGCAACACCACAACTATTTATCAGGCTTCATAAAGTAGGGGGAGATATTTAGCCTCAGGCAGATATAAGGGAGCAGAAAAACAATATCTAAATAGTTGAAGGATAATAAAAGGCATCTCGAAAGCGAGGAGAGTTGTTTCCCTTGTTTCCAGTCTTCAAGCTAATCTAAGCTAATTGGGATAACATTTCCCAGAAAGGTCAAACTGTTTCTTTAACTACTTTCCCTCCACAATCCCTTTCTCTACTAAGCCTTATTTCCATGCCTACAGAGATTTAACAAAAACACAAGACTGTCATAAAAGTCAGTCATTACACATTTCAATATTGATGCTGAACTCCAGATTTGTACATCAAACATATGAATAAATGTATCTTTAAACTCGCTACAGAGACTTTCCTCTATTTGATCTATTCAGGAAAAGATGAATATGTTGTTTAAGTTTTAACATAATTAAAGACTCAAATCCACAAGCATACAGACACAAATAGAAAACATCCCCGCTTTGTGATTCTTCCAGCAGTTATCACGTCTCTACTCCACATAAGTATTGACAAAGAGAAGCTAAATGAAATCAAGAGCCTCCTCTATTTGCTCCATATGTTAGTTTAACTCCTAAGCCCTATCAGTGTCCCCATCTTAAGAGGAAAAGTCCTGACTAAACTCTGAATCCACTCTTTGAGAAACCACACGTCATGCCATCATTCCCCTCATGTACTGTACGGCTTAGTGAAAGAGCTACTGACAATTAGCCCGGCTTTGTCCCGGTGCACTTTGAGGCGCGTGCCAGCAGCAACATAAAAGCGCTTTTCTCTAAATGCTTCTAATCGTGTGTCACATCGGCACATATGTTTTGTAGCTTTATGCCTTTTAAAACGTACTGTATGTCATTTGGTGCTGAAATAAGATCAATTCGTCCCGCGCTATAAGGACGTTTACGATGTAAGCGCATTGGGGAATTGGTTGACACTCGAAAGCGGATTCTCAATTTAAATGTCATGTAGGAAATGAATGAATGAGTTTAGAGCTGAATTATGGAGCTCCTAGTTATGATGGATTTGTTTACTGTATTTTCATTCCTAAACATTTGCCATCAATGACTCAAACATTTTTGCATCAATTAGAGACATGTCACTGTGTGGTAACATAACTGTCATCGATGTGTGAAGCTAATATTCCAAATTAAATACAAAAAGGACTGGAAACAGGAAACTGGACTAATTATTGGATTGAAGCGAGTCATGTTTGAGTTTTAGATATGATGTTATCATGGACAGAGCCGCCTTGCTGTTTACCGGTCTCCAATCTTTCCGTAAAACGGGGTTAACCTGTTTCTGTCTTTAGCGTCGTAACTATTCCACAGACTTAAATGCTATCAATCTTCTCATCTGACTTTTCGAATAAGCATTTCTTCCCATATTAAACCTTTCCTTTAAATCAAATGCAGCCACACTCCTCCCATCCCCCCGCAGCTTCCCTTCATTTTAGATCACTTTGGACGTATGAGTGGCATGAGCACCACATCTGTCTAAATAACACCTCAACAACTCTCGTGTCGGCGATGCTCCCGCTATGATTGCATCAGCGCTTGTTACGGAGCCTGACATTTCATTTCCAAAAGGCAGAGTGGCTCTGTGGATGGTTCTCCTCTCCCATGCAGCGCGGGTCAGACACCTGCCAGGTCATCTCCTGCCAGCGCAGACCGAGAGGATGTGGGGAGTGACAGCTCCCGGAAGAAAAAGCAGCGGAGAGAGTCACTTCGGTGTATTTGGCCTCGGGTGAATTGTGGAAGTTTTACAGGGCGACACTCTGGCAGTCAGAACAGTGGGTTACATTACTTTCCTCAGGCAGGATCTGCTGAGTGTTTGTATGTGTGTGTGTGTGTGTGTGTGTGTGTGTGTGTGTGTGTGTGTGTGTGTGTGTGTGTGTGTGTGTGTGTGTGTGTGTGTGTGTGTGTGTGTGTGTGTGGGGAGAAAGTCACATACACAAAGTATCATCTACCATATCTCACACAGGCTCGCAAGGCTAAGTGCTTCTGGCAGCCCTTATTATATTGATGGGAAGTGTTCTGTAGAGGATAATACACACATGGTAGGCCCTGATGAAAGATGGCACCCAGCTAGGGATTAGGGGGGTACGAAGGAATGACAGAGAGAGGAAGAAAGCTGGAGAGAGACGAACACTCCCTCCTTTGTTGCTTCTTTCGATCTTTCACATTTCCTCGGGCAACAAACTGTTCCTTGAGTCGGCTCGGGACGGCAGAAATAAAGCGAGAGTGGTATGGTGAGAAGAAACAACAAGGTAAAAAAATGAGACAAACAATTAACGAACATAAATAGGTGGCAAGTATAAAACCGATTATCGTTCTTCAGTCGTTACAGCATTGTCAAACATTGAATCTCAAAATCTGCGGTCGGTTTATCAGGAAACTTTCCCGCCCCTTTTCAACACACCTTATCCTCCGTCTCTCGCGTCGCCGTACCGTCCGTCTCCCTCGTCCGACGCTATGGTGCCGGGAGGAGTAGTCTCGCGTGGGTCTCCTGTCCGACGCAGGTGGGTTGTAGTGAAACCATTGGCTCCCTTGTCGCCTCGTCCTTGGACCCATGCACGTCACAATTTTCACCCGTAATTGAC